GAACGTCTGTGTGAAAGAGGCCTAAGGCCCCTTTCACACGGGCGTTCCATTTTTTTCATCAGTTCAGTCACATTTTTTCCAAGAAAAAACAGATCAGTTCACATCAGTTTTTCATCAGCTTACATCCGTTTTTTTCATCCGTTTTCACCCGGTTTTGTCAGTTTACATCTGTTTTCACCTAGAAAAAAACAGATCAGTTCACATCAATTATTCATCAGTTTACTTCAGTTTACATCCGTTTATTTAATCTGTTTACATCCATTTACTTCACCCGTTTACATCCGTTTTTTTTGTCTGTTCTGTTTTTCTTAACGGAAGAAAAATAGGGTTTTTTACCGGTCAAAAAAAACGGATGTTAGGGGATGCGGACATTAACGGATGTAAACAGATGATCATCCCTACATCTGCTAGTCCATAGAAATACATGGATGTCCGTTTTTCCTCAGTAAACGGACAGATGAAAAACGAACATATGGAACAGCCGTGTGAAAGGGACCTAAGGTGGTGTCACACCAAACCCGACTTACCGTGAAGTCGCACGATTTCAAAGTCGGATGACATGCCAATTTCAGGTGCGATTTGCAAGACGTCTAACACAGATGTCTATGCAAATCTCACCAAAATTAGTGCTTGTCCTACTTCAGAAATCAGTGCGGCTCTGACCAAGTCGTAATTGCGCCGATATGACCGCTGTCATAAGGGGTGCGGCTTGGCATACGATTCGGCATGTCCCATGGCACGTAAATCGCATGCCAAGCTGCCTCCAGTGTGCCCAGGGACTGACATTCATTTCTGTATATTTTTTTAATTGATAAACAGATGTGCAAATACCGTGCGACGTATGTGACGACCGCCGCCGTTTTATTCCGCAGGGCCTCTGCTTTCAGGAAATACGTCCATTTTTTAAAAGGTTTAGTTTCTAAGCGCAGATTGCCGATTTTGTAGGAAGTAAATAGAATGGCGGGAGGTGGGCCAGTGTGTGAGGTGATTGGAATGACTGAGCAACGTGTGTGCTGACAGGCGAGCCGCCATGGGTCTGCCTCTGTGAACACACTCCATGCAGTAAACAAAACTGGTCACAGCACAGCATTGGAAAGTGTCAACAACCTCCCACACATGCAGGACAGCTGCAGCCTACCGCCGCCATATTTACTAAGGGCAACCCCTTGCCCTGTCCCTCCGCGCACCCATAGCTCTAAAACGTCACCTATACAGTCCAAGGGAGCCCTGATTACTTGTCTCATGGCATGCTGTGACGCTGTCCAGCGCCACCCGTGGCGGTGACATGCTTTGCAAACACTGTGCGCTTAGTGGTGGAGGCAGGGGACGCCATATTTGTTGTGGGCAATGAGAGAATTTGGGGAAAAGTCGGCTGTATGGAGTCTCGGCCTCGTATTGGAGCCTGATTGCCCGACACCTGTGGCCGCACCTGTGCGGCGGGCGGCTAGTAAGGTGAGGGGGCGTGGTTACAGCGAGAGGGGAGGGGCCGGCAGGGGTTTAAAGAGGGGAGTGAGCGGTGTGGTGGACAGGCTGGTGACGTTTGTAGCTGTGCGACCCCGGGGGGCTGAGAGTGAGGACTGCTGGAGACACACAGGTACTGCACGGGGGGGGGGGGGCAGGTTGTGCTTGCAGTGTAGATGGTGACGACCGATCAGATCGGCCATCTATGGGCATGCTGGGGCTTGTAGTCCTGCACGTGCCACACGTGGTCCTGGTTGTGTTCCGCACTCCCCTCCCCATCTATGGGCATGTTGCTCTGATCATCCATCGATCATGATCGGCCAGTCTGTCCATACACTGCTGTAAGATCAGTCTGCTGGTGGGCATGCTGAGACTTGTAGTTCTACAGCAGACCGTTTTTGCAGTAATTCTTTTGGCATGCAGAAGTGCTGTGGGATGATCTGTGTTTGGTCTCCCCATACATCATACAATCTACTTTTTTAAGCTTTCCAAGAAGAATTGGTCTCAGATCAGACCCTGAGACTACACAGATGGCTGATCTAGAGATCATTGGACAATCGGATTGTATAGTCGGCTCTCTAAGCTCACCATGCATGTTATGGTCTGATTGTACAATCTGTTAGGGTCCTATCACAGTTGGGCGCAGGGGTGGACTGACAACTCATGGGGCCCCTGGGCAATAGGGGATCATGAGGCCCCTGTGTCCTTGCCCAAACTCACAAAAGCCTATGAAACAGGTACCAGGGGCATCTCGTGGGGCCCCCCTACTGACCTCGGGCAGTGCCTGAGTTTCCAAATGGTCAGTCCGCCCCTTGTTGGGCGACTTCAAAATTGTGATTTCAAAGACCCGTTCAGGTGTCATTCACAGCAGTGCGACTTCAGAATTGCATCATTTCCATTGCAACTTTTGATGCGACTTTGGCTTTGACCGAGGATGATTGAGCTCTAAAGTCACACCAGTCTCATGCATCCTTTTTGGAGGGTTTACATTGAAGTTCTTGGCCCTCAAGTTGCATGAAAGTTGGCCTGAAGTAGTGCAGGAGCTGCCTACAGGTTGCTGTGGCTTGAAGTTGTGCAGATATGAATGCTACACATTGGGGGAACATGGGGTGGGGCTTGTCAAGTGTCGTGTGTTTTTTTTTTTTTTGTTTGTTTTTTTTTTTTTTTTTGCGGCTATTACTTTTTCACCTAAAACAAAAAAAAAAAAACTTTGTGTACGCAGTGGTGATCAAATGCCTGCATGGTCACCCTTTTTATGTGCTTCAGAAGTAGGTTCTTTCATGGGAAGGCTTCCCCATCAATGCTCTTCAGTAGCTGCAGAGTTCATGTTGACAGGAAGTGGCTGCAAAGATGGAGAAGATCAGCACGAATGCGAAACCAGTATCTTTAAGGGCAGGTTCACACTATAGAAATGCAGTCCAAACGTGCTCCGGATGCATGTTTTTGGTGCATTTTTATGAATTAGTTCAATTTTTCCCTTCAATTTAAATAGGGATGTGTGTGCGTTCCAGAGCGTTTGTTCTTTTGTTTGTGACCCAGGTGTGCTGACACAGAGACATAAAAAAAGCAAGACTACAGTTTGGTTTTTTTTTTTTTTTTTTTTCCATTCCCAACCCCCTTCCCCCCCCCCCCCCCCCCCCAGCGCTGATGTTAACTAGGTGATTGACAACCATATGACCTACTTTGTGTATTTTGGATGCAGAAAAAAGCAACAGGTATTTATTACAGGTACTTATATAGCGCCACCAACTTACGCAGCACTTTACATATATATTGTACATTCACATCAGTCCCTAACCCTCAAGGGGTGTACAATCTAAGGTCCCTAACTCACATTTATACATACACATACTAGGGACAATTTAGACAGGAGCCAATTAACCTACCAGCATGTCTTTGGAGTGTGGGAGGAAACTGGAGTACCCAGAGGAAACCCACGCAGGCACAAGGAGAACATGCAAACTCCAGGCAGGTGGTGCCGTGGCTGGGATTCGAACAAACTACCTGAGTACTGCCAGGTGGGAGTGCTAACCATTTAGTCACTGTGATATGGCATTGACAACCACATGACCTATTTTCTGTGCATTTTGGATGCAGAAAAAAGCAACTGAAATGCACACGGTATGACCTAGCCCTTGAAGGGAAACATGGCTCCAGCAAATGACCTCTCATCCAGTTGGGGCTTGCAGTTTTTGCAGTTTAGTTCCTTGGGTGTGTGAACAATTTTACTTCGCTGTGAGGTCTTCAACAATTCTGATGGCTCCTATTGCTTTGAGGTTTGTCATCTTGGTTGGTTGCCCCCCTGGGGATGACTGCATGTGTAACTTTGCCCTAATCCTGCATGGAATACTTTTGACCCATCTTACTATGTGGTCTGAGCCAAATTTGCATGGCCAGGGGTGGACTGAACTCCTGGGGCCCCTGGGCAATAGGGGATCATGGGGCCCCTGTGTCCTTGCCCAAACTCAAAAAAGCCTATGAAAAAGGTACCAGGGGCATCTCATGGGCCCCCTACTGACCCCAGGCAGTGCCCAAGTTTCCAAATGGTCAGTCTGCCTCTGGCCATGGCAACCTCCACCACCTGCATGACCATACTGCTAGCATGGGGACTTATTATTATTATTATTATTATTATTATTATTTATTATTACATTGAGTTTATATAGCGCCAAAGGGTTTGCTCAGCGCTGTACAATAGGGGGGACAATACATGGCACAGTACAACAAAAACAGACAGCGTACGAGGGGTAAGAGGGCCCTACTCATTCGAGCTTACAATCTAGGAGGGAGGGGGTAGTGGTACAATAGGAAGTGGAATAGGAAGAACATCAACAAATAATGAATGAGTCTTGACAGCACTTGTCTCCAGCTGAATGAGTTTTCACTCTGAATACAGGGGGGAAAGGGAGCATTAGTTCCCCCTATTCCACCCAGTTTTCACTGGTGCTAGGATTCTAGTGGCTGGGCCACACAGAAGGCTGTGCTGCCTTCCTCCTAGCTACCAATGACTGAACAGCCTGTACTCTTGACCAATAAAAAGATGGAGGGCCACTGGGTGGGAGCCCTCGCTAGACCTCCCGCCCTTTGCTCCCCAGGCCCTTGCTAGACAGCAATGGCGACTAGGCTCAAAGTTGACGACTTCCACAAATTGGGCTTCCATCAGGGGAGGAGCAGACAACATGGAAAGGAAGACCTGAAGAAGGGGAAATGTACTGGTGGGTCAATCATACATGTGTTTAAACTGCACCCATGAGCTGCTAGTGCCCCAGCCTTGTGTTGGAGGCTTGCAATTACTTCACCAGCACAGGAGTACTTGCAAATGCCTTATTGCTGCAGTTTGGGAACCCTTGGGTGGGCTTGGTGTGGTTGATGTGATTGGGGCCCTCACTGCTAAGGCACCCACCTGGCTAGTATGCTTGTGCTCCCTGGTTGCAGTTTAAACCTTTTGTATACATGCTTGTTCTGCTTTCTGTACCCGTGTATACAAGTTTTGCTTGGCTAACTGTTTCTCCATTCACAGGGTGCAAGATATCTGAAACATGACTGACATGGCTGACAACCACAAGGAGGCCTGGGAAGCCTTGATCAACGCTGCGAACAAATACCGCAGACTGACTGGCAATGACATTGTGCTAATGACTGCTTATAAATCCAAGTTACTGACCTCCTATGCCTATGCCGTTCATGGCAACGGGGTGCTCCTAGAGGCCACTCAGCGTTACATCGATGACATTGCTGTAGTGCATAAAACCACTGCTTTTACCAGCCCACTACCGATCAGCAAGACCAGCACAGAGGCCACTAGTGGCAGACAGAACTCTTACTCAAAGAGCTACCCTTCTATCTATGGCAAGGAGGGTTTGCCGACACTGGAGGACGGTGAACATGCCAAACCCCCCACTCAACTGCCGGAGCCGCTGCCACCTCTGAATCCACCTGAAGAGGATTATGATTACAGCAAGCGGAGCCAGCTGCATAAGGCAGACAGTGTTCCCAGTGACTCAACAGGTGAGGCTCTGGATGGTGGATGCTGGATTTGGTGGGGTTTTGTTTTACAGCTTAAACCTTGTTTGGTCCTTCAACCCAAATTTGGAATGGGTCTCATGTCTTGTGTCCTTTGCTGAGAAGTTCCAAAGAAATGGGCCTTGAAGCTGCTTTGCAAGGCATGGCCCAGCATATGATCACTGCTTAACAGGTTGCCCTAGGCCAGCCTTTCTCAACCTCTTCAACCTTTGAAATGACTTTTTGGTCTTGGGGAACCCTTCTAAATTTCTGTATCTGCAGCTCATGATGCGTTCATGTGATGGTCCATAGGAAGAATGTTCCTTACACTTGTGGTCATTGAAGAATTACCCCCTATAGAGAACTAAAGATATCAATGGTGTCAGCAGGAACCAGAGAGGCAGATATTGCTCAAGGCTCCCCTAGCAACCTCTGGAGGAACCCTAGGGGTCTATGGAACCCTGGTTGAGAGAACCTGCCCTAGGCTATGACTAAAACGTGCAACTCTGGTCCATGGTAGCCTAGGACTTGGTGCTGTTCAAAGGCAACCTGTCATGAAATGCTAATCCACAGATGTCAAACTGGTGGCCCTCAAGCTGTTGCCAAACTACAAGTCCCATGAGGCATTGCAAGATTGACAGTTACAAGCATGACTTGCAGAGGCATGATGGGACTTGTAGTCTCAACAGCTGGAGGGTCCCCACCCCTGCACTAAGGCTACTACTGAACTCTTCACTCTGAATGTGACCTTTTTCGTGACTCATGCTGGTCCACTAGCTCCGGTACGGAGTTGCTGATTTGAAATGTGTTCAGATTAGCTCTAATGCAGTATATAGGGGAGCAGATGCCACTCAAAACCAGTCCCCAGAGTCAGGTAGCATGTTGTAGATGGCCTCAGCTACTCCAGCCATGCCCACAGATTTTACACCCCACCATCAGGTCTTGGTCAGATTCCCCTGTGACCGAGCCCTGATGGGTAGAGTGAAACACATCATAGGTGCGTCTGAGGCGATCTCCAACATGCTACCATTGTCTAACTCCAGGGATTGTTTTGAATGGTGCCCACTCCTCCATAGACTGCATTTATTTCTGAAATAACTTGGGATGCTGCACCCCTCTCCTTCTCTGCCAGCAGGGTGACCTTCACCTGTATTCGGCCTTGAGTGGCACACTCCCATATGGTTCTCACAGGTCAGGAGCTCATTACTTTGAGATTGGAGGGGGGAGAATGTGTCTATTTTCTATGGTTATTGGTTCCATCTAGTAGCTGTAATGAATTTTCCTGCAATACCACATATTCACTACTAGATGGTGCAGACTATCATAGGAAATCTACATATTGGGCACATTACAGGGATCATTCACCATGGCGCTGCAAATGCTGAGATCAGCACAGCAAATTTAACCACCTCCCGTCCGGCTGTTGTATATAAAGGGCCAGACTGTGGCAGTGCAGGGTCAGGTGGGCATTTATAAGTGGCTTTCCTGGCCCCTGCCTGTGCACGCTCCCTGGGAGCACGCAGCACAGCGATCTGGTGCCCGCTGTGTCCTCCAGACAGTGGAAATATGATCGTTGTACGGGAACTCTGTGAGGTCCCAATCCTGTGATCACTGATTGGCCAATCAGTGATCACATGCAGAGTAGTAAGCAAGATGCCACTTCTGACATTGCTTGCTACATGTGAAATCTGAATGATCTGAGGTCACATGGTACAAGGCCATTCACAACAGCCTTGTACCATGTGACAAGCTGTGACCAATCACAGCTCACAAAGTAGTTCTCAATGGCTGCAAGAATGCAGCTAGGGAGAAGTGGTTGCTTTTACACCCATAAAGGTTGTAAAAGCAGTCGGTGTACAAAAAAAAATCTTCACCCCACGAGTAATACAGTATTGCTAGGGTAACTAGGTAGAAAAAAAACAAAAGTAAAAAAAAGCTAGGGTTACAGTATGTAAAGTCTAAAAGTTGTTGTTTTTTGGTTATAATTTTGTGTTATCTTTTAAAAAAAAAAAAAAAAAAACAGAATAAATGTTGGCCAAGATTTGATATATTTGCTAAATTTTTTCAAAATTTTTGGACTTTTTATTTATATAGCAAAAATAAAAATCCCAGTGGTGAATAAATACCACCAAAATAAAGCTTTTATCTGTCTCAAAAAAATGCCAAATTCATATGGGTACAGTGTTGCATGACTGCACAATTTGTCATTCAAAGTGTGATGGCACTGAAAATTGGCCTGGACAGGAAGGGGGTAAGTGTCCGGACTGGAAGTGGTTAAAGCTGTAGGCCAGGCAAGCCACAAAAATGGGTTCAGCACAGTTGGGGTAAATCTAACGGGGTGGTTGGGGATGGGTGCATTAGATTTACTGAGAGCTGTACCCTTTTTAATTTGAGATTAGGACACTGGTCATTTCAGTGACACATACAAAGGGGCCTTAAAGTGATTGTAAAGGTCATTTTGTGCACTTTTTTATTTAATTTTTTTTACATTGACTACTCTGTCCTAGGAGAGGCTTTTCATGAACTACACTGGCTGTATTTCTTTAACCATTAAGACCTCATGCACTGCTGCCCCCAAGTTCTCATTTAGGAGCTTTTGGTGTTCTTTTGCTGCCAAAGCTCCTGAAAGCGACTCGTACAAGCCAATGTGTCCATAATCACTTGCATACTTTTTTTTTTTTTTTTTTTCTAACAAAGAATCTCAAAGTATGCAAGTGATTATGGACACATTGGCTTGTACGAGTCGCTTTCAGGAGCTTTGGCAGCAAAAGAACACCAAAAGCTCCTAAATGAGAACTTGGGGGCAGCAGTGCATGAGGTCTTAATGGTTAAAGAAATACAGCCAGTGTAGTTCATGAAAAGCCTCTCCTAGGACAGAGTAGTCAATGTAAAAAATTAAATAAAAAAGTGCACAAAATGACCTTTACAATCACTTTAAGGCCCCTTTGTATGTGTCACTGAAATGACCAGTGTCCTAATCTCAAATTAAAAAGGGTACAGCTCTCAGTAAATCTAATGCACCCATCCCCAACCACCCCGTTAGATTTACCCCAACTGTGCTGAACCCATTTTTGTGGCTTGCCTGGCCTACAGCTTTAACCACTTCCAGTCCGGACACTTACCCCCTTCCTGTCCAGGCCAATTTTCAGTGCCATCACACTTTGAATGACAAATTGTGCAGTCATGCAACACTGTACCCATATGAATTTGGCATTTTTTTGAGACAGATAAAAGCTTTATTTTGGTGGTATTTATTCACCACTGGGATTTTTATTTTTGCTATATAAATAAAAAGTCCAAAAATTTTGAAAAAATTTAGCAAATATATCAAATCTTGGCCAACATTTATTCTGTGTGGTTTTTTTTTTTTTTTTTTTAACAAAGAATCTCATTCAGCAGAGGAGTGTTGACATGCCGAACAAGGCAAAATCGCAACACCCAAGTGCTTGATGCAGGTAAATGCAGTACACACTTGGCAGTATCAAGCATTTTTATGCTGCCAGAAGAAAAATGTCCAAAGCGGTTATCGGAATCCAGTGTGCATGTAACCTAAACCAGGGCTCAACAAACCTTAGGTCACCATGGCAATTAAATTGTATCTTGGCGCCTGGGATTTTGTCAGCCCATTTACTGTCCAGAGGGGTCTCCTCTCAGCACTCAAGCTGTCCTCCGCGCTCAATCAGCTGGGCACTGCTCAGCCTTGGCGTTGGAAGAGCTTGGCCTGGGACTTCCTTAGCCTCACACAGTGCAGAGGGTGTCAGAAGACTGACTATTGTCTTCCCTGGTTGCAGGATGGAGCATTTAGCGTGCCTACTACCTCCTTGTACTGGGGAGGAGGAATGGTGTTGTAGGGGGCATCAGAAATCAGGTGACTGTTTTCAGGATGGAGACAACCTGTGGATTTCCAGCTGTGACGGTACCTCAGCACTTGGCATAGTATCTGCTGATTGGACATGCTGGACTCTGTAGTTCTAAAGAACCCAGCATGCCAATGACTTCTAATGCAGGGATACTGGTCATTGTCTGCTGACTTAGGTGGTTTTTTTTTTTTTTTTTTTTTTTTTTTCCCCCTCCCAAAGTCTTCTACTTCTGAGTGGTGTTTATCTTCAGACAGGTTGGTAGGGTAGAGGCAGGCGTTAGTTCTTTATTCTGAGATCACCAGACAGGTGATGTAAATGATCAGGTCTAGGTGGGCTGACCTTCCTAATGGTGTAAATATTTTAGTGGACTTGTATCACCATTTGGGGTGCTCCGATATTGCAGAAAAGGCTTGCATATAAATATTTCTCCACTAGGTGACGCTGTAATAACTTGTATTTGTTGGCACTGTATGCAGGACTCTTTGTGATGGACGAAGACTCACCAAGCCCAGACTGTGAACCTTTCTTTGAATCTGACCCTGAAGAAAGCACCGATGGTAAGACTGCAGAGGCTGGAGTTAATTTTTTTTATAATTTTTTTTTTTTTTTCTTTCAATGGCTGTATATCAACTTGGAGTTTTAAAGTGATTCCCTTACCACATTAAGACAGGCCTATTCTGACACTTCTCACATGTAAAAATCTGCTTTCTTGTGTTAGATTACTCAAAGCAAAATTTCTCTAGGGGAGAGGACAGCAGAAATACTTGCCTGACTTGCCACCTCTGTGTGGGGGGGGGCTGTGCCCCCACTGCAATATATTGCACAGGCCCTACAGAACAAAATGGCTAGTGTTGCTTTTTTTTTTTTTTTTTTTTTTTTTGTAAATTTTTCAAACACAGAATTGATAACCCTTTAACACTTTGCTGCCATGTTTGTATGTCATACAGACCAGATGGGGGGGGGGGGGGGCTTCACATCTGCTTTCCTCCCCTTCATGCTGTGCCCTGGAAAGTAATGTGTAGGAAATGACTTCCAGGTTGCCCAGTTTTTTTTTTTTTTTTTGTTTCCCCCCCCCCCCCCCCACCCCCCCAGCTAGGATAGAAATGCATTCAGAGATTCAGAGAGACATGGGGGGGGGGGGGGGGGGGGGGGGGGAGTCTTCTTCAGGCCTAAAATGACTTTTAGTATTGCTAGGTATATTTAAAACACAGCAAGAACTCACTACATGCTTTTCTGCAGTGTTTCCATTGAAGTCTATAGAACCAGGAATGCAACTTTTTGTTTTTTTTTAAAAAAAAAAAGACCCTGACCCTTTAAAAAAAAAAAAAAAAAAAAAAAAAAAAAAAAAATGCACTGGGTGAAATCACAAAATGTGATTGTCACATATGAAATGTTAAATGGACTGTATTGCGTTTCTGTAAAATGCTGCAGATAGCAATTGGGTGTCAACCTAGGGTAAGTGGTGTCATTGGGTTTGAGAGAATCTCCCAGGGAATCGCAGTAATAAAATGCCAAGTCCTAACCATCAACGATGGATGGATTTGTGAAAAGTCCAGCTTTAGTGTAGTTTGAAGAGATTGGGCCAAGTCATGAAGCCAGGACACACCTTGGCCATAACGATTTGTAGCTTTTATTTTCTGAACTTTTCATAGTAAATGAAAGCTAAACCCTGTAGCATTTCTGCTAAAACTGTAGCGGAGCTCCTACTTCTGGTTCTACTTAACACTCTAGGTGTCTACAATAGTGGGTTCCCTCCTGGCATGTCCTCCTGACCCCCGAAATCCTAGTGTCCTGAACCAACAAAGGGGCAGCAGGGATAAGTCACAGGAGGGGACATGAACCATCCTAAGGCATGTATGACTCTCCCTAACTGGATAGGTCCTTCTCTCCACCCCCAAATGGGCTGCTTTTTTTTTTTAAGTGGCTTCCTTTTTGTTATAACCAACATTTAAGCAATTGCAATCCAATTCAGCTTTTCACAAACTTCAATACAGAACCCCTTTGAAATAACTTGGTCTCAGAACCCCTACTAATTGCTATATCTACAGCTCCTGGTACATTAGCATGATGGTTAGTGAGCATGCTCCTTACACTTGTGGTCATTGGGAAGAATTACTCCGTTACAGATGGCTAAAAAGATGATTTGTCAGTGAAAACTTATCTGAGAGCCAGAAATTCCTCATTGTTTAACCACCTTCTGCCTGCCCTATAGTACAATGATGGGCGCAAGGTGGTTCTCTAGGTCTGATATGACATCCTTCCATTCTCACCACACATGCATGGCTCAGGGAGCACATAGCACGGTGATGGCTGGTGTGCTGTCCCTCGGACACAGCGGATCACGGAAAGAGCCGAAGATGTCGGCTTGGTCATGTGATCAGCTGTGTCCAATTCCATGTAAACACGGAAATGCAAACACGCCAGTTATCATTTCTCTCCTCTCAAGCTGTCACGCTGACTGCTCGAGAGGAGAGCCGGTAATCTGCTTTCTGCGGAGGGGACATGTACACTGATCATTGGGCACTGATGATCAGTGTGGCCCCAAAAGTGCCACCTGTCAGTGCCATCTCATCTGAGCTGCCTTTCAGTGATGCCTGTCAATGCCCATCAGTGCAACCTACCAGTGCCTCCTCAGTGCCCATCACTGCAGCCTCATTAGCACACATCAGTGAAGGAGAAATCACTTAAATTGTATAACAAATTAAAACATTTCAACATTTTCAGTGGTTTTTGGTTTAAGAAAAAATAAAAATCCCAGAGGTGATTAAATACCACCAAAAGAAAGCTCTGTCTCAAATGATAAAAATTTCATATGGGTACAGTGTTGCATGATCGTGCAATTTCACATTCAAAGTGTGACAGTGCTGAAAGCTGGGAATTGGCCTGGGCAGGAAGGGGTATAAGTGCCCTGTAGGTGAGGGGTTAAGGAACCGCTAGCAGCCTATGGAGCAACCCTAGAGTTCCCTGAAGCCCTGCTCTGTATACTGAATGCTTGTTGTATGTAAACGTGTACATCTTGAGGTTTAAACTGCTTAGAATGCTGTCTAACCCATCTTCTGGTCCATCTTCAGACGGAAGTTTAGCTGAAGATGCCCCTGGACGCCCTCCACAACGCAATCTCCAGCAGTATGCCAAGTCTCTGCCGGTCACTGTGCCTGTATGGGGATTTAAAGAGAAAAGGCAGACTAATAAATCTTCTGATGATGAAGGCACAAAGGTTGGTGTAAGTAGAGAGCATCCTATAGCTCCATGATCTTGCAAGGATTTAATCCTTGCATTTGGCACCAGGCTACAAGATGAGGGGGGTTGATGATCTCTAATGGGTACCACTTGGTCACTGAGAAGTCTTCTCTGTACCTTGCTAACCAATAAGGTGATGTTTTTTTTTTTTTTTTAACTGAGTAGGTGGTACACCATGAGGTCACACAGTTACTGTCAAGTCTGTAAGAATGTATTGCTTTCTAAAGTTTGGCTAACATGGCTATTTCACCTATGCTGAAAGCTTACACTGCTGCAGTTTGACATTACCTTGTTTAATAGGTGTAGCTTTACCATGCTCTCCCACAGGGGCGGACTGACAACTCGTGGGGCCCCCAGGCAATAGGGGCTCATGGGGCCCCTGTGTCCTCACCCACACCCAAAAAAAGCCTATGAAATAGCCAATTAAAGGTACCTTTTTCATAGGCTTTTTTGAGTTTGGGCAAGGACACAGGGGCTCCATGATCCCTTATTGCCCGGAGGCCCCATGAGTTGTCAGTCCGCCCCTGGGGGGAGGAGCGCACAGTCGCACGCACACCCAAAACGTGTTGCCATCAGGGGTGGACTGAACTCATAGGGCCTCCGGGCAATAGGGGATCATGGGGCCCTATGTCCTCGTCCACACTCAAAAAAAGCCTATAAAAGGTACCAGGGGCATCTCATGGGGCCCCCTACTGACCCCAGGCCCTCGGGCAGTGCCCGAGTGCTCAAATGGTCAGTCCGCCCCTGCTCTCCCATGACCTTTCCATTAGTGTGGTATACCTCAGATCATGCCACATGTACTCATTATCCCTACAGCCCTTTCCCATATACAGGAAAGGGGTTAGGGTGCTTAAAGTGATATTAAAGGTTCTTGGCATGTTATACTTTCCTGCTCTGTAATTTGGCAGAATAGCCAGGATCCTCCTCTTCTGGGGTCCCCATAGCAAGCCACTTGCTCTGGGGGCACTCATGCAAGCTGGCTCCCAAGCCCTGCTCTGTCCAAGATACACAACAGGGCTTAGCCGTGCCCCTGCTGCTCATCGCTGGCTCTGATGGGACAGCAGTAGGAAACTAGGTCTTCTGCTGCTTTATCTCAGTCAATAGGGAGCAAGAGCCTCAACTCTCATGCACATCGCTAGATCAGGCTTGGGTATGTGTTTGGAGGGGGGAAAGCTGCATACTTTTATATTTTTTTTTTTTTTTTAACCTCACTGCATAGAATGCTGTAGGTAAAATAACAAACCTGATTTTACATCTTCAGCTTGAATCATGCCTGCACAGTCTTAATCTGTCTCATTGCAATGCTGATAACATGGCCTTTAACACTTGTGCCAGTTCTTGCTGCATAGCATCAGACTTGCATATGACCAGGGGCGGACTGACAACTCATGGGGCCCCTGGGCAATAGGGGATCATGGGGCCCCTGTGTCCTTGCCCAAACTCAAGTCTGCAAAAAAAGTGCCAGGGGCATCTCATGGGGCCCCCTACTGACCCAGGCCCTCAGGCAGTGCCCGAGTTTCCAAATGGTCAGTCCGCCCCTGCATATGACTAGTCTTAAGGGCTCAGTCACACAGGTGCCTTGGCTTGTACAGTGTGAAGATCTATTTATGCTTTCAAAGTAGCATAGAGCTGAATGCAGGCAGCATATTTCCCAATGGAGTTGGTATACACTCACATGCAGCTCTCACTTTGACAAGTATGGGTGCACGGACCAGGACACTTGTGGTCTGCATAAAGGCTGTGCAGTCACCCCTGCATACCTGTTAAATGGGCTGGGGGGGGAGTGGTTGCAGCTCTAATTCAAAAACCAGCTGCCTGCATACAGCTTAATCCTTAGAGGATAAAGATGACTTCTACAAATTCATTCATGTGAATGAGCCCTGACTTTGGTCCAGCTGCTTTTGAATCGTATACCGAAATACGGCTGCCAGACTCATTCACCTTTCCAACCGCTCCATTCTCCACCCCCCCCCTCTGCCAATCCCTCCACTGGCTTCCAATTGCACAACAGATCAAATTCAAAATCCTAACACTGATGTACAAAGCTGTCCACCATACTGCCCCGAACTACATCACTGACCTAATATCCAAGTACCACCCAGCACGCACACTCCGCTCCTCACAAGACCACCTTCTCTCTAGTTCCCTGGTCTCCTCCTCCCATGCCCGCCTCCAGGACTTCTCCAGGGTGTCGCCCATCCTCTGGAACTCCCTGCCCCAACCCATCAGATTATCACCTACTTTCCTCTCCTTTAGGCACACCCTGAAAACCCATCTCTTCAGGGAAGCCTACCCCACCCCCTGCTAACCTGCCGACCTCCTCCACTCTTCCCACCACTCCATCCCCCACAGCTATTTCCTCCTGTGCCACCATCCCCTCCCTCCTAGATTGTAAGCTCGAAAGAGCAGGGCCCTCGATCCCCTCATGTATTGCATTGGTATTGTTCTGTCCCCCTTTGTAATGTACAGTGCTGAGCGACCATTGGCACTTTATAAATCCTGTATAATATACCCACCCTTTGTGCATCATGTACAGGCAAGAATGGGCCACTCATGAGCTGGACCACTTTTAGTCCATATAACTGATGGTCACTCTCTTATCAGAGCAAATGGAAGTGTGGCACTATGGTATTGCCACAGCTGTGCAGACCACTAGGTCAGAAAAGTTTCTGTATGGGAAGATCTAGTAGTAGCTTTTGTATAAGCCAGCCCTTTAGAACTGCTAAATAGATTGCAGACCTTGCCTACTTTATTGTAGGTCTTTATGTCCCTTTTTTACTTTTTCAGGAGTATGTGGCTCAGGCATAAAGCATGCATGGTGATGTCTGTCCCATGTTGACCATGAAGGCTGGCTTTTAAATAGTCTGAGGTCAGGGGTCATCTTTAGCATTCCTGTGTTCTGCATATAGCCCACCCCACTATGGGTGTGGGAAGCAGTATATGTAATGGATTACCCCCCCCTTCTGCATGTGTGGTATTATACTTCCCACACTGGAAACCTACAGTACTAACTGAATTTTTTTTTTTTTTTTTTTTTTTTTCCTTCAGTTTCCATCTCCTGATCTTGACCGGATTGCTGCCAGCATGAGAGCTCTAGCTCATGACAACACTCAGCCGTTTGGGGATCTGCCTCGTCCTCGTCTGAATACCGGTGACTTCCAGATAAAATACCGGAAATATTAAGTCTACCGGAATACTAAGACTATAGACTAAGTCAAGCCCACCTTCCCAATGGTGTGACACTACAAAGACTGTTTTTTTTCTTAATCAAAGAATCAGCAAAAGAAGCTTACGATTTGGAAACTCCCTACCTGTTAGGAGGCAGACTGGTTCACTTCCTAATGTGTAAACGTTTGTCTAATTCTTTTTAATTGAATTTTTTTGTTTTTTCCCAGGCCTGACAAATGTGGGTACCCCAATTGTCAGATTTTTACCCCAACTTTTTAAATTTCACCTCAATAAAAGAGGAATACAACTCACTGTCTTGTTTCTGTGTGTTCAGTTCTCCTTGGAAGAATTTAAGTGACTATATGCTATGGTTCTCCAGGAAAGCCTTTACTAAAAGGAAGGCTGTGAAGTGATTGGTGCATGTCTGCTGGCTTCTATTGGACCTAACTGTAGGAGTACTAATCTGTCTGATCCATCAACACCACTTTCAATGTGTAGGGTGTTTCTTTTTTTTTTTTTTTTTTTTTTTTAATTTAAAAGGAAAGCTCCATAACTCCTAGGTGGATACAGACTCAGTACAATGCTTCATATGTCCCCCACTACTGCTTCTAAGACTGATCTGAGCAATCAAAGACCACTGACTACTCAGACCAGCTTGCTGAAGACCAAAAACTATCAACAGCTCTCTGCTCTGCCTCCCAGCATTAACCTGGCTCAGCTTCTCAGTGGCTTGCTGAGCTAGCTACTGGCCCAGGCATCTGAATAGATCCCAACTGTAAAGTCTGGATCAATCCAGAGCCGGAACCAGCAGGGTGACAGCTGATGGTGGGCTTTAGCCCAGCCTCAGCTAAACTGGTCTCTGGAGTGAAGAACAAATTGCACTCTGGCCCATAAACGTGGGGTTGAAAAGGCTTTGACCCTGTCTTAAAGATATCCTCACAGGAGGGGGAATGGATGGTTGCCACTTAACTGTCCTTAGATGTGGCTGTATGGCTGGCCTTCTAGGAAAAGGACCATTTGAGTACAGAATCTTTCAGAAATGCAGTCCTGGTCCCTTCCTGTGGATTGAACTGATTGAATGTCCTTGGCTATTGCCTACTAAGGCTACATTCAAATGGCCACTTCTGTGGACAGTATGCTGTGTTCAGAGGCAGTAACAGTCTGCAGCTAGTGGCCAGCTTATATATGGCAGAGCTCTGCAGAAGAGCTGACAATCAACATTTACTAAAACTAGTACAGCTGTGCATGGTAACCAGTCAGCTTCCAGGTTTTGCCAAAGGTTAATGCAGTGTTTCTCAACTCCAGTCCTCATGGACCCCCAACAGGTCATGTTTTCAGGATTTCCCTCAGATGAAACCGCTGTGGTAATTACTAAGGCAGTGAAACTGATCAAATCGCCTGTGCAAAATAATGGAAATCCTGAAAACATGACCTGTTGGGGGTCCATGAGGACTGGAATTGAGAAACACTGGGTTAACGGAACAAGCTGAAGTTGCCATGCACAGGTGCACACTTTAGTAAAATCTCCACCATGTTGTCTGCATCTAGTTGCTCAGAGGTCATAGTTTGCTGTTGAAATGAGCAGTTGCATGCAAACAGTAGCAGCATTAGCCATATCTTTACCTAGTAAAATCTGCTAGGCAGCTGTCTGACTGTAGCCTTGGTTCCCCTGTAATGGGATAGGAATAGAAGTTTAGTCCTGTCCTAGGGTAACAGCACTACTCTATGGTGTCTCCCTTGTACATGGGATTACCCAGTTAAAATAAAGGGTGTTGGGAGCCTGGAAAACGTTCCTAAATCTAGGAATGGATGAGGGTGATTTTATTTTTTTTTTTATGGGTTTTTCCTTTAAGCCACCTGGGTATTGCCTCTAAATGTGTGGAAAAACACTACCATGCTGTGAATTATATAGGTTGCCAAGTGCCCCTGTTACACAGGATCAAATGTAAGGTAGCCTGTCAAATGCTACAGATTTTGCCTTGCTGTGAATTGCGCCTGCAGTTCCCAGAGATCAGCAAAGCAAAATGGACAAAGTGGCTGTTTTTTTAGTTAACACTGTTCCCTACACATGGCAAAAGTGGAAGTCCAGTCAGATCCTAAAATCTTCTCCCATTTTGAAGCCTAATCCTTACCATGTACAAGGAAGGATGCCCATGCTGAGGCCACATGATCGGATCCCAGTAGCAGTTTGTGTAGAGGGACTGCTGACAAGATGACCCATAAGCCTTTGGGTGATGCCATTGTACAGCCTGGCACTACAGATATCTGTAGTTTTGACTTTAATTTATTTTATTAAAGAATAAACCTCAGGTAAATGTGCATTTAATTTTTTTTGTAGGGCACCTGCAAAGCATTGCACTAGCAACCAACAGATCATGGGTGCAATGCAGGGCTCTTGCAGACTGTCAGTTTAAGCTGCTTGCTTGTACAGGCCATTGCACACTTAATAGGAAGAATCAATGAACTACCAGAGTGCTCATCAGTGCCCTGGTAGGTCATTGAGAACTACAAGCTGGTAGCTGCAAAGGCTGTTGGTACTTGTAGTTCATTCACAAGGTGAGAATCTTTCCCTGTACCCACTATCATGGAGTGCAGGGATTGGAGCGGCTGCAGGAGCAAGAACATGCTACACCCTAAATGTGTGTAATGTGTTCCCCCCCCCCCCCCCCCCCCCCTCCCAAAGGTCAACTTACTCCTCTAACCACTTCCTAACAGGTGGACATGTTTGACTTTGGTTGTACTAGGGTGATGCAGCTACAGGCTATTATACTTTAGTATTTATAAAGCACCAATAGTTCGCTCAGCGCTGTACATTACAAAGGGGGACAGAACAGTGACGGAACAATACCAATACAATGCAAAACATGAGGGGATCGAGGGCCCTGCTCTTTTGAGCTTACAATCTAGAGGGAGGGGATGGTGGCACAGGAGGAGATGGCTGTGGGGGATGGGGTGGTAGGAAGAGTGGAGGAGGTCGGAAGTTAGCAGGGGGTGGGGTAGGCTTCCCTGAAGAGATGGGTTTTCAGGGTGTGCCGAGAGGAGAGTAGGTGATAAATCTGATGGGTTGGGGCAGGGAGTTCCAGAGGATGGGTGACACCCTGGAGAAGTCCTGGAGGCAGGCATGGGAGGAGACCAGGGAACTAGAGGGTCTTGTGAGGAGCGGAGTCTGTGTGCTGGGCGGTACTTGTATATTAGGTCAGTGATGTAGTTCGGGGCAGTATGGTGGACGGCTTTGTACGTCAGTGTTAGGATTTTGAATTTGATCCGTTGGGCAATTGGAAGCAGTGGAGGGATTGGCAGAGGGGGGTGGCGGATACGGAGCGGTTGGTAAGGTGGATGTGTCTGGCTGCCGTAGTCAGGATCGACTGAAGCGGGGATAGCCTGTGGCGAGGCAGGCTAGTGAGGAGGGAGTTACAGTAATCAAGTCATGATATGATGAGGGAGTGGATGAGCTGTTTAGTGGTTTCTGGAGTTAGGAACGTGTGGATTTTGGCGATCAGGTAGTCTGCATGGGTTTGTTAAAGATTGGACTTGGGGCATCTAGTATCTTTATTTTTATCCAGCAATTCCCCGTTTTAGTAAAATACATCATTGTGGCAGATTAGCTGCCAGATTGCCTTTAACAGGCAGTTGGAGGGGATGCTGCCATTGGATTCTTGGAGGCCAGGAACAATGTCATGGTGTTGCTGGCAGATGTGAAAGCAGATCAATGGTTTTTATTGATCTCGTGCTTTCCGGGGAGATATTTGGTGTCTTATTGACCCCAGATGTCTCTATAAAAGATCTGTCATGCATTTCTATCACAAGGAATATCCTAATTTGTATTCCTTTTATTCCCATCAAAGGAAATAAGACTAAAAAAACAGTTAAAGTGCACTAACACATAGGTTGCACCTGCATACAGTATGTAAATGGTAAATATTGCAAAATTATGTAGCGCTGGTACCAGTAGTGAGAAATGTCAAACACACAAATAATAAAATGCTTTATAATATATCACATATCATAAGGTAATATAAACGCATGTTTTTATGTTTATTACCTTTATGTTATATTAAGCATTTTATTTGTGTGTGTTTGACATTTCTCACTACTGGTACCATATTTTTACATGTGAGGATCATTTGGTATTATGATTGGATGTTGGGCGTGTACCTTCATTCTTAATATTAACATTTCAGGGGTGGACCTGACCTCATGCTACATTTTTGCAATATTTTTACATGTAGATCATTTGGTATATGATTGGATGTTGGCAGCTGTACCTTCATTCTTTATATTAACATTTCAGGGGTGGACTGACCATTTGGAAACTTGGGCACTGCCTGGGGTCAGTAGGGGCCCCCATGAGATGCCCCTGGTACTTTTCTTTAAGGCTTTTTTGAGTTTGGGCAAGGACACACGGGCCCCATGATCCCCCTATTGCCTGGGGGCCCCATGAGTTGTCTGTCCGCCCCTGCATTATTTTAGGGACTTGGATAAGAGTGCAGGAGGTTTTTTTTACTCTCATATGTATGTAAATGTTGTTTTTGTACAACGTGTATGTTGCCACAAGCATTAGTGCAATATAATTCTAGCTCTAGACCTCAAAATCAACTGGTGATGTGTCCACTTTAATGGTTCTGAATGGTCTAAGGCACGGGTGTCAAACTGGCAGCCCTCCTGCTGTTGCCAAACTACAAGTCCCATGGGGCATTGCAAGATTGACTGTTAAAAGCATGACTCCCAAAGGCAGGGGTATGATGGGACTTGTAGCTGTGCAACAGCTGGAGGGCTGCCGGTTTGACACCCCTGGTCTAAGGTGTTAGTGATGTACCCTAAAGCTCAATATTGTGGCTGTTTCTGATTTAGTTTTTGACACTTCAAGTATAACTGCTTGCAGATGACACCAGGCTATGCAGTTAAATAACATCCTTACAGGATGTCTTGGATTTACAAGCTGTCCTCAATGCTTTGTTTAATTGGGCAACTAAGTGACAAATGAGGTTTAAAGGATGAGTTCACCTTAAGGAACA